CAAAAGAAGATACTATGTATTATGTAATATAGAAAAAACTAAAAGAATTTTTTTTCCGTCAATAAGGAAGCCATAAAAATCAATTTTCTTTCAACCTTTTTTACTTCGATATAGTGGACATTAAGATAATGATGATGATGATACATTGAGGTATCAAGGTAATACATCAAGACATTAAAATCAATAAATTACTGAGATCATCAGGATAATGTATATTGAGTTTTCAAAATAATTCTTTGATTTTTCAATGATAACACTGATTTGTCAAAGATAAAAATTGAATTTCTCTTTAAGAGCCAATGTATCTCGTCCTACTTTTCGTCTAAATCGCGTAAACCATTCCTTAGAGAGAGGATCAAAAGAATACGAGCGCAGAATGTCGAAGGGAGAATTGGTCCAAAGAGATTCTTTCGGCCTGTGCGAACAAGATCACGTAATTGGGTCGTGATCCCTTTTCACTCTTCTATTTGTCGGCGCATTATATATACTTGAGCCATTTTCGACGATCCCGATTTTGAGGGAGGAAAAAAGAAAGAAATCCTCTAGCTTTAATTTGAACGAAAAGCAAAGTTCTCCGCAAAAGGATATATATCCCTTCGTGGTAAATCACGTCTGTTAGTGAAAAACATACGAGGGGGCCTAACTTTTTGTTTAAACCACCTACGCTTGTTTCAAAACTCTAACGCAAGTTCGAACCCCTATATATAGACAAAATCGCGTCTTGTACAAAAATTGGATATAAATCTCGTTATCGTTGAATGCTACCTTATTCAATATTTATGATTATTAAAAATCCAGAAACGCCTACTTGTAGTAAAAAAAAACTATATAGTGTCGCAATTAATTCCCTAATTCGATTAAAAGACGCCTTTTTCTCTCTTTCTATTCCTTCTCTTTCGTGTCATGAGATTTGAAGCAAATTGCCGTTGGTGTTAAGAGGTCGTAAATCTTTCTATTTCGTTCTCCGCTATATCGTACCATTCGTTACTTCACGATTTCTTATTCGAAAGATTCCTTTTTCGCTAATTTCGGCCATCCAACGGACGAAGATTTATTTTCGTCTTGCTTTTCAACAGAGAGAAAAAAAAGAGAAATATAACGTCGTATCCCAAATGTATGGATGGACATGACAAATTTTCCTTCAAAAATTTACTTTGATGATGATGATGATGATGATCAAATACAAAATAATAAATTTCTATTTAAATAGTCTATGTGTATGTGCTTTCAAAAACAATTCATGCTTTTCTGCGTCTAAAGGTTTATTCTCGTTATGCTGAAAGTCTAATTCATGGTGAATGTAATTGTGAAACGAGTTAAATTTCAACAAGATTGTGCGCCAGACCTTGCACTCATGTATAAAATAGACGATAAATTGACCAACGAACGACAGACTCATGACCACCGGAATTCCTAGTGGAAATTAAGATACTGTTCTGGTGCTTTCTATTTTTGGCACGTGTCTGGTTTTGTTTTAAAGACTCTATTAGAATGACAATCGCATTTTCTTATTTCTAATATTAATAATATATTTCAAAATTTTGATAATTTTTTTTAAATAATACAATTAGCTCATCTTTTTCAAATAAACTCTCGATTTCCAAGCATTTGAGAAAATATTAGACTTTCCGTTTCGAAGAATGTAATGTAATCGAACGCCATTAATTAATTAAACTTGACTAGTTATTTTAACACCTCTCACCTAATTACATTCTTCCGCTCGCAGCAAACTACTATCAACATGCGAACATCAGAGCTCTCCGCGACTGTCTATAATAATCTAGCAATAAAATTAGAAGACTACCCACTGCGAAAAAAATACCTAAAATTTATGTTAACATAAATTTCGAGATATTGAAAAACAAATTTCTAATTAACCAAATGGAACATTAACAACAGAAAAATTATTAATTTTCTTAGAGGCAATTTTAAAATTGCAATCTGTAAATTTCCTATATTCAATACAAAAATTTGGCTCTATAAATTGACAATAATTTTCAGTTCAAAAAAATGTCAGTTGACATTGACCTCAGTAGTCTGCCACCAATAGAATAAAAAGAAAGCGTCAGCATCAGTCATGTCGGAAATGAGATGTATCAATAAAGTAAATGTGTATATTATTTTATGGGGGTCGATTTATCCGGCTTCGTTTTGTATATATAAATACATATATATATGACAGAGGAAGAGTCTCGTTAGAAAGTTACGTATGTCGGCACTTTAACCTCGCATGGGTGCACAATCACGTCGCACGTACATTAGTAACGCAGAAAGTATAGTGACTCGCATAACTGCACTCGAAATGGGGTTGTTTCCAAGCACGTCCAACAGATTTTTCACTTTTTTATACTGAACACGTGGGCATCAATTATTTACCCACTGCTGTCCTTTAATTTTACCTCCACCGAAGCTCGTAACACGTTGTTTTTTTTTAAGAAAAAAAAAAAAAAAATTCAATTTATTATAAAATCGTGATTTATTATAAATGTTTTAGCCACTTTAAAAGACAAGATTTATATATCATGTAATTCAATAAAGAGACAAATAAATTCAAGAGAGATTAAATATTTTTTCACCATTATAATATGCGACAAACAAATAACTTTTTATAATACTAAAAATTATATTTTTGCAATAATTTCCAAGAAAATATTTTTGTAAATTAATAAATATAATTTATTCACAATTATATTACTTTACATAAATGTTTTCATATTAAAGCGCAAATATTTAAGATAACATACGCGATTGAATAAATTTCATATAAATTAAACACGAATTTAAAATAGTTACATTGTTGCAAGAATAAAAATTTTTTCTTATCTAGTAAAAAAAAAAAAGATCCCTGATCTTGAAAACTTGTCGAAGAGGTTTCATTTGATGATAATATGAAAAAATCTAGCTATATGAATGTAATAGAGAAATATTTTATAGTCTAAAAATGTTTCTTCTCTTCCTGATCAGAAAACGAGTTAAGAATTTTTTAAATGAAAATATCCCACGCTCATGTAACAAAAAAAAAAAATTATATATATACTTTAAATTTCTCGCCTTGTATAGTAAATATTACTTTATATTAGCGCATTGGTAATATGCCCTCGTCTAGTAAAAGCAACGGAAATCGAAACGACAGTTCTACAAACATTTAATTTATCTGCAAACAATTTACTATATCAAAGGATTACCATATTTTCATACCTATATATAAAAGAATTATTTTATAGTGACAATTAGGAAACAGTTTATTGTATTAATGACACATTTATCGTAAAATATAATATATGATATTTATATTCAAAAGAATTAAATTTATATATACGAAGAAATCTTTATTTATTATATTTCAATAATTGGATTGGTACATTCCACAAAAAACAAATAATTAAACAATTTATTTACATGCTTTCACTGCAATCGATTTAAATCATTTTGAATTGAAATTCAATCACAACTATATATATAAGAACGCGAGCTTTAATAATTCAAGACTTCAATGCGTGATAATCGTATCTTTCAATTAGAAAACCACTGTATTTACATTTTAATTGAATTAATCGTAAAAATGATTCATTTTATTTAATTAATTTTATTTACCAATCATTCACAATGTTAAATGTAATTTACGTTTAATTTAAATGTAATTTACGAATTTGAAACGTAAATTTGATTTTATATATCATTTCTAAATAAATTGTTTCCTAAGAAAAGTTGAAAACATTTTTCATATTTTTACATCAATGAAATAAACTTTTTTTTTATAAATATGTTCCTAATATAAATAACGAATTTACTATAAAGTATTTATATATACAACAAATATGATTACAAAATTGATAAAAAAATGGACATTTTATTTAAGCTTTAGTTTTGCAATTTTTTCATTTTTTAGTTTTTATCTCTACCATAGCCAATTGTAATCATTAGCTCAAGTGTCGGTTATATCCTTACGATTTAGCAAATTGGATCATAAATTAATGCAGTGAGAACTGGATCTGAGTGGTGAGAGTAGCCGAAACGTGTTAACACGTTTCGATTCGAAATCCAATATTCTGCGGGAAGATGTCGTAAAAGGAGGAACCTGTTTCCTTTTTACTAATTAGATGTCAATATACATTTTATCTGATATCGTAAAATGAAGCTAACTCTATTTATTTTTTTATAATATAAAATTATTGTTTTCTCAATTCACTGTTTCTTCCATATTCAGCAAAGAAATCTAAACATAAAATAATACTTTTTTACATACGAATTGATAAAAATTATAATCAATTTGCAACTCATTTTATAAAGAAAATATTTTTCTACACACATATATATATATATATATATAGTTTCAGGACGTGCATAATTATTACATGATTTACATATGTATTGTAAATAATCTTGATAGTAGATCACTTCATTTTACAGTTAACGAATATCTTCCAGCAGAATATAAATTTGATAAGACATAAAGATATGTTTGTCGCGTCTTAGAAATCTATAGCTCTTCATTATCTATATATTATAATTTCTAAATGATTGTGTGACATGGAAATTTAACGACTTTAATTATTATAGAGAACAAAATAAAATAAACGCCGAAGTAAATAACAGAAAACTAAACAAGAATTCAAGGAAGTAAATAAGAGGATGTAATAGAAAAAAAAAAGAAATCAGAAACTAAAAGGAAGAAATTTATAGTTTCATATTTGAAGTCCTTTAAAGTTTTCCGCGTTTGAAATTGCAACTTGGCAATACTATACGATAAATCCCTCAACACTATTATAAACATTGAAAGCAAATATTTGGAATATTGCGTCGGTGATTTCACACCCGTGTGGAAGCATAAAATTATCCGTTCCCCTCGGGTCAATGGCTTATTAAATGAAACTAAAAACAAAATTTTCTCCAAAAAATTAAAAAAAAAAAAAAAAACACTATAGTAATAAATTTTGAAAACACAATTGTCACTAATTCTATAATAAAAAATCTAAATATATTTTGTTTCTCTGTTGCAGCACGAGTACACAGAGGACTGTATTTTTAATGAGACAATAGAGCAACACAACTACAACACCTATAGTTCCGTGCGATGGTCCACAAATCAAAAAACTCTCTACCTCGGCCTTAATCGTTATGGTGAACCAAGAAGGGTCCAAGCCAAAGGTCACAATTTAGGCAGGCTCTCAGCCTACAGTAGAGTCTTAACAATGGTCGTTTCACCAGATCGGGTCGAGACTCTTCATCGGCGAATGTTTGCCACCCATCATAATGTTCGTCATCGACACAATGCCCATCATCAACATAAACAACAAAACAATCTTTGTCCACGTATTATGCAACTCGAAAAAGACAATGTAGATAATAATTATCGATGTCGAAAACGTAAAAAACGAAGGAAACGAAAACGTAAATGCCAAGAGGACGAGAGTCCTGGTCCTCAGTGTGAGCATCATCATCATCATCATCATCAGCAGAATCATCATCACATCGACTCTGGAAGCAGCGAGGGTCTTCCCGAATCCAAAAGATCCTGCGAGGACGCCGCCAGTGACGAGGTCTGTCGACGTCAGGCAATGGATGCAGCCTCCAAGAAGCGGAAGTCACGGATGGAGAAGGTTGGCCGGAACCAACATCAGCAGCAGCAGCATCATCATCATCAGCCGAGGGATTCCAAGAAGGGTAAGAAACAGCCAAGTACGAAAAAACCCAATACTGATCTCGCTGAGCACGAAGACGAGAAAGAAAAAAAGCCTGATAGCATGAACGGGAAGAAAAAGCCCCCTGGGTTTAAGAGGACCTCTCTGCAGGCCAAGAAGAAACTTCCGGGCAGGACAACAGCATCGTCAACGGTGCCAAAGGAGCCTCAATCGACCTCGCCATCTTCCTGGTTACATGGTGTCTCAACCAAAGGATCAGCTGCTGATGCTACCACTAACGTCACCTCTGGTTCAACAAATTCAACATCATCGAGTAAGGACATCTTGAGGGCAAGTTTATCCGAACTCTCATCACCGCTTGATTCAACTGAAGATGATCAATTCGATGCCTCGTATTCAAATGAAGAAATTAATTCATCATTAGAATACGGTGGCATTACATTGAGTGGCTCTTCAGCTGAAGTGAGTGACGATGATGCCAACATCAGTACACCAAGGACTATGAGGTTGATCAAGGCTGGTAAGTTGAAAGATTCAACAACAAGACTGGCCATGTGAGACTACGTATTGTTTATATCCCTCCGTTAATACAAGTGTACATATACATAAAAAAAATGGCACCTTCGAATATAACTGTAAGCTTTTGCGCTCGATGCAATGAAAACAAAATATTCTTCATTTGAGAGGAACTTTTTCTTTACTAAACTTGAAACGTAACTGCAACCACTATTTTCCTCTAAAATTTCACTTTTATTTGCACGTACTAATTATTTCTTTTCCGCAAAATTCTACAAAAAAAACTACTGCCTCTCAAAGAGTATTTTTTTTTCTTGTTAAAAACCTCGTCCTAAAATTATAGGTATTAAGATGAAAGGTCATTGAGATTAGAAAAATCTCGCAGCACTCGCGAGTTGCGATGATTGTGACAATAATATGCCCGGAGAAAAATTAATTTTTCTTTCAATAGTAAATATATAAATATAGAATTAATAAAAAAATTCAAGAGAAATCCTAAAAAAGTCCACAAAAAATATTTCCATAAAATAAAAAAAAAATAACTCGTCAAATTCTGTGTGTAGTTAAAATTCCGTGACAATTTTCGCAAACTTTCGAGATTGAAATTTAACTTTCCAATATATTATTGGAATAAACATATACTAAAATGGAATTTCACAAAAATTATTCTCAAGTTTCAAGAGAAGAATAATTAAAAAATTACTATATTTAGGGTTATTTGTCGTGTGACGAACCGTGAAGTATTCTTAGAAAAGTAAAAAATGAAAAAAAAAAAAAATGAAAAGAGAAAATAAAAAAAATTGTAAATTAAAATAATAATAAAATTTAAATTTAGGAAATTCCAAAGATTTGAGTCACATGGAAAGTAAAAGTTTTTAAATTGACGCTCAGAGATCAGGATCTCTTATAGAAACGCTACATTTTTCAGGATATATATATATACTATACGAAATAAGTATTTTTCCTATATTATTTAAATGAATCATGATTAACAAAACTGATGAGGAATAAAAACATTTTGATAAGATCAAATAACAGTATATATAGTATAGTTATTTCAAATTCTTTAGATGTATAAAAAATAATTGATTTCTAGTATTTCCATTTTTCACTTATATATAGAGAGACGTGTTACATGTCTCATAAAAATTCAAATTTTCTTAATTCAATAAAACAAAGTTTTTCTAAATTTAAAAAAAGAAGACTTTATGCTAAAAACTAAAAAAAAAAACAATTTTTATTGTTCAAAACTAATTAGGGAATTAACTTTTTAAATTTTCTTTTTTAAAATTTGCATATAAAAAATAATAATAATACAAAGAAATTTAATAAAAAATAATAAAATTTCAATTTTTCGTTTTAATAAATTGAATTCAAAATTATACCCACATATGAGATTATTATGAAATATGGAATATTAATTTAACGAGAACTTATAAAGAAATAAAAAAAAAAGACATAGAAATAATAATAAAGTCCAAAGAAATGCAATTGTCAAATTTTTCTTGTCATTTCCATTTTTGTCTTTCTCTTGATGAGACAAATTTTTTTTAAAAATAATATTAATAAATATTAATAATAATAATAATAATAATAATAATAAATAAAATTATTTTTAACAAAGTCAAATAATCAAAGTCGGACAGAACCGAAGCTGCGAGTCTTAAAACGACCTATTAATCTAGTAATCTATTTATTAAAAAAAAAAAAAAAATTATTATTTATTTCTGTAAAAAAAAATCGAATTCCGTGTACATAAGACTATAATCATCGATCATGGATCACACATATCGATCGTGTGCTCTCCATTTTGTGCCTGTGTTTTTTTTTTAAATGCTCGAATTCGCTAAGAATCGAAATTTCGAGGCGGATGTAGCGACTACATATGGGTGATTCTCCAGAAACAGGTCACTTTTGATTCTTTGATTAATTAGTTAATAAATATTATCTAGAATTGGTTTATTTTTTTTTTAATTTCTTCATTTTAATGATCTTTAATAAACTCATTATCAATATAATGATATTTTACTTCCCAAAATTTATTTTGTCATCTGAAATATGCTAAAAATATACTTTTGCTCGTTCCACACATGGATTTTGCTATTTTTGAATAAGATTTTTGACATTAAAATTAAAAAAATAAAATTTGTCATTATAGTCATTTTAAAGTATGGCTGAAAAACTGTTATTCCCTAAAAGGGTTTTTAATTTTTCGTCCATTTAAATAAAAAAATGTTTATTTATAATGTTTCTTCGTAAATTTTTTTCTGGATCCGGAGTTGAGAATTTGACTAGTTTTTCGAGGTTTTGCTTGTTATTTTCATTGTAACTAAAGCAATTTTTTGATAAATATGTGTAAAAATCCCAATTGAATAAAAATCAACGGTACTAATTAACTAATTAACTTTTAAATTTATATTATTAAACAATACAATTTGCGTATTTTTATTATGTCTCAACTCCGAACCTGTTTAAAACAATCGTTTTTCAAAATAATTTTGAATTTCAACCTATAGTATCGATAAAAGTAATAAAATTGTATAAAATCCCTAAAGGATTTTTTATTTAGTCCTTAATTAACAAAGTAATTAATGTTTTTCATTTGTTTCTCAACTCCAGCTCTCTCAACTCCGGCCCCCGAAATTTTATTGAGCATGCGCAAGTTTCGCGCGAGCAGAAACGACACTCAACTACAGGGCCGTCATTCAGCTTTTCAGTTCCCTTGCGTTTAAGAAACTTAATTTTTTTTCTCTATTTTTATAAAAAAAAGCCGAGATAAATTTCTACAAAACAATTAATTTTTGCAAAGAAATTATTGTTTTGTTCTCGAAAAATTAAATATTAAAAATTTAATTACATGTCTGCGCAAAAACAATGGTGCCTGGGGCCCCGGCCGCCCTTGCTACGCTATTGCGCTGAAAGTACTACAATACATATTTATCGTTAAAATTACATTAAAAACGGTTTTTAAGCTCAAATATTTATTAGAATCACTTGTTCCAATCATAATTAATAAAAAGGATGCAATAAACATGTATTTTTAAATAATTTTGAAAAAAAAATTCCTTATTCAAAAGTGACCCGTTTCTGGAGAATCACCCATATACATAAAAAAAAAGAAGTCTCATTGGTTGATTGTACATTACACAACTTTGATTTCTAGCGAATTCCTATTTGTTGCAATTTAAATGACGTATGAGTGTTCTTGATGAATGAAATTACAAAAAAAAAAAAAAACAGTTCAACAGGACTATAGGAGTAAAAGACAATTTTTTTTCTGTCATTAAATGGTGCATTTGGCAAATCATCGAAATCCAACAAACGTACAACAAAATTTATATAAGTTTTTCTGTGCTCTTCATTAATATTGAAAAATAAAATAAATATTTTTTCACTAGTTAATTTTTCTTTTTTTATTAAAATTAATTTCTTTTTAAAATCATTTATTGCAAAGAAATCTTTTCATTTCTATAAAAATACAAAGTCATTTTATAATTATTGATAGAGTTTAAAATAATTGAGATAATTAAATGAAAATAAAAAAAATTTTAATTGAAAAATAAAAATATTAAACATTTAATTCGCACAGAAACTCTTGCCAGTATACGTGTGAGATTTTGATGTATAAGCCAGTAAAAGCACTGCCATTTTGACGTTGTATTTAATCTCATAGACTGAACTTGTAATGTTTAAAAAAGAAAGAAAAAAAAAAAAAAAAAAACTACACTAACGAGCGATTGTCGTTCACAGCGATGATTGAAATTCTATGGTCGAATGCCTGTATACATCATTTTTATATAATTAAAAAATTCACAATCTTGTGATATCTTTTAGAAGTCAAAATAATTCTCCCTAAAAAGGCGCGCAAAAAAAACATATATATATGTCACATGCTTTTGTAGATATATTAGTTGATTTTATGAAAAGAAATCAAACTTTTTGCAGTGACGATATACTTCGAAAACAATGAATAATTTCTTAGCGAACATCTAAATATCTATTTTCGAAATCTATTTGCGAGTTTTCAATTTGAAAAAAAATCAGTCATTTTATTGAAGAACATTATAAAAAATATCAACAAATTTTCTTAACACGATAACTAATTTTTCTTCACATACATACAGCATCCGTATAATTTATATAATTATGTTTTTATCTTCCAAAGAAAACGAAACATTAACAACATATGATTGTTAGATTACATTAATTTTTTTGCCCGATTTCTCGTAAAATACTAAATGGATTAAGTTGGAATTTTCTCTAAAACATTATTAAAGATGTGTTTGATATTTTTTAAAATTGAATTAATTATTCCCCAAAAAAAAGAAGAAAAATAGTTTTGAACAATATGAAAAATACAAAGCAAAATAATAAATGATTATAAACAAATACTAAAATAATAATTGTACATTACAATCCATTCTCATATTTTAGATTTCTTTATAAAATTTCAGCTCAATCGAAACAGTATTTTACAAGTAATTTAGCTGAAAAATTAACATTTCGATTATCCAACACTCAACATGCTGTTAAAAATGTCTTCTATTCAAAAATCAACCTGCGCTACTTTTTTTTTTTACTTAAACTAAACATCTTGTAGTCAAATTCATTTTCATTGATCAAAATCGTCGACCGTATCGCAAACATAATTTTTAGAAAACTAATAAATCAAATTATTATTATAAAAACGAAAACTAAAAGGTATTTTTTATTAAGAAAGTCCCTTTCTATTTTTTAATACAAAAATCCCTAGATTTATTTAATTGTTAAGATAATTCAATTTTTTTTTAGAAGATTTATTTTTAACCATGCTTTTTTGATAATCGAAGTCTCTATTTATTATTTTAAAAATCTATACTAATTATTATTTTAGAATTCATATTATTATTTCATAAACTGGTAATTTCTATATTGAAGATACTGAACATTATGAAGTTAACTTCTAGATTGACTGGCTTTCTGAGAAATGTAGATGGAAATTTTCATCAACTTCAATGAAGATATACCGCTTGATTTACAGGTAAGTAACAAACAAAAATTGAATGAAGATAAGTAGTTATTATTGTCAATGGTGGGTAATTTTGAATTTAAAATGAGATAAAAGGCAAAAAAGAATGATTAATGGGTGCATAAGGAATGTTTATGCATATATATATATACTGTATGAAAACCACCATATGACTAACATGGTGGTTTTCGTAGTAGAAAGAAAGTAGATATATTGAAGGTTGAAGGTCGATCAGTGAAGGTCTAGTCATGACCACGACGACCATGGTAATAAGCGTACTTAAGGTTATGTTCATGGCACGTAAGTGCTCAAGTCGTTTAGGTTCTTAACATTACAAGCACTTAAGTGCAGAGAGAAGCACAACTCAAAGCATCTTGAATGTGTATTATGTCTGCAGGTGCAACGGCGCCTATCAATCCATTATAAGCGCAAGTGCGTCAATTGGTGGGTATTTAAAATCTTTGTAAAAAATTTATATAAGCAGCCAATAGATTTCAAAAGCAGTTCATAGTTCACTGCACTTTAAACTACCGTTTCATTTCATACGATTATATTATAATCCCTCCAATTTCATTCATTTTCTTATATACAATCTACACTTAGTTTTATAATTAGATACAATAATAATAAAATCAAAATTTTTGCATAGAAAAATTAATCGAAAGTATATTATTCCTCTTTCTGATAGCCAATTATTTCAAAATAAAAATATTCCTCTCCAAAATAGATTTTGTTTTTCAAGAAAATGGCAAAATAATTTTTCAATTTGCAACCACAGTTTTTAAAAATAATTCCTAACATATTTACCGGAACCGATCTAATTTATATTTAGTATTACCATCAAAATTCAAATAAAAAATTTCAGGTTTCCCAGGGCAAATTTTCAACACTACCAATAAAATATAATTATTTAATTCATGAAAAATGTATGTATGTACCTATATGTATAGAATCCGTATAAGACCCCTCTTCTAGACCATGGCCTAAAAAAAAAAATAAAAAAAAAAAATAAAAATATATTCAAAATTTTATGTGGAGTCATCCACAAAGGATATAATAATTCAGGGTGCAGATGTCAACAAAAAATATAACGTTCCATGTTAACCGTTAATGGAAAAAACCGTCATAAAGGGAGGAATGAGGGGGTTAAATTTCCAAAAATATTAATGCTTTATGAATGACTCCTATGTAAAATAAAATATTTTAATTTTTAATATTTCGCACGTTTCATTATTTAAAAACTAGAAATTCTTACTTCTCTATATAAGGGGGCAAAAATATTTTCATTTAAAAACTTAATAATTAATATAATAAATAAATATTAATAAAGAATATAATAATTTTTAAATTCCTGAAAAAAACTGATTAATTTTAAAAAAAAGGAAAATATTGCTCACCACGATGACATAACTGAAAGATAATGCTCAATTAAACATGCACAAATCAATAAAATACAAATAAAAAATTAATACATCTAAAAGCAAAAAATTAATACAACATAGTGACATAAAAAAATAAATATTTCAAGATAAATATATTTTCACTGGTATTCCAGTTACTTGCATGCAACACTTCCTAAACACTAACTAAAATTTCCGCGATTTTCCTACCTATAGCTATAATTAAAACGAAAACGAAACTACAAAATTATCCGATTTCCCTACCTGTAGCTATATTTAAACCGAAAAAAAACTACTTCACCTAAAAATAACTAATGTTGCTTCTGAAAGAAAAAATATAATTAGTCGTTAATTGAATTTATCAAAAAAAATTTAACTTTAAAATTTCACATGCATTAATTTTTAAATTAATAATGAAATATAAAATTTAATAAACAAAACAATAATAATTTTAAAATTAAAATTTAATTATTCATCTTCAATTACTTTTTAAAGAAAATTACTTTAATTCATAAGAAAAATTACAAAATTTTAAACAAATACAAAATAAATGACATACATATACATATATAAATTTGACAAAAATATAAATATTATACATTATTATAAAATAATATAATAATTATATTACATAATTATAATTAATATTAAATTATAATATTTAAATATTATACATTTCTGTCAATAATGTCACTATGTTGCTGTGTTTCCTTTCCTGTTTTTAAAAACTTTTATTGAATCAATGCATTTATTTTCTTTTTTAAAGTTAAGAAATTTATTGTAAAATTTATAAATTAAATCAAAAAAAAAAGTTAATTTTTAATCACTAAATTAATTTACTGTAATTGATTTCAAACTGATGAAAATTGAATGAACATGTTTCAAAACAGGGAAGGGGTTAAATAAAAAACGACTCACCGATCGGCGAATCCCACGTCGGGGCAAAAGTTACATCGCCACTTCTCGAGCGCTTCAGGGCCTGCTCCCGAGGATCCCTCTTTCTTGCTCGCACTTCTGCGCGAGGCCGGGAGCGTTAAAAAAAATTTTATAAAAAAAAAGATAAAAAAGAAAACAAAAAATTTTATAAAAAAAAAAATATGCAGGGGCCACTTTTCTTCTTCCACATCCTTCCTGTCCTTCAGATTGTTTATTGGACATGGACTGAAAAACACTGAAACAATAAAAATTAATTAACACTTTAATAATTTATTATTAATATTATTATTTTAATAATGTTTAAAATTAACCAACTTACCTATTGCGAATTTTTTCGTCGTGTTAAAGATATTATGACACCATACTCTCTCTCTATCTTTTAAAATAAAGGAAAGTTTCTTTCCTGGAATAGACTGAAAATAAAAAAAAAAACGTAAAATAAAGGAAATCCTAATTTGATTGTACAGTTAATTATTACTATTGATCCAAAAATTATTTATTTAAAATAATTTCTTTTTATCACAATTAATATTTCTAAAAAGATTTTAAAGTATTGAAAGCTATTTTTTTACTATTTATTATCATTATTTCTAATTTTTTTAAATTTTACTTTGTTCAAAATTAACCAATGAAAAAAAAAATACTTGCAATTTGCGATTTTTCGCGACGTGTTAAAGGTACGATGACAGCATACTTTCTCTTCAAATAGACGAACCTTCCCTCCTCTGCAACAATTGGCTGTAAATTAAAAAAAAAATAATTAATTACCTACATGTCATAATTAAAATAAATTATTATTATTATTATTATTATTATTATTATTATTGCAACTAGACCCACATATATTTATTTAAAGTAATTAAAATTTTGTTTCTTTTTGTCACTATTAATATTTCTAGAAAAAATATTTTACAATCTATTTCTTACTGGTACTGAATATTATTTATAAAAAAGTTTATTTTCAATAAAAACTATATTTTTATCATCATCTTAATTATTTTATACCGCCAAGTGATAAATTCAAAATAATATTATTTTTATCATCATTTCTAAATAATTAATCAATGATAACTAATTTTTTTAAACGCATCATTCTTAATTACATCAATATTATAATCTAAAAATAAAAAATGTTTATCAACTTACATTGAACTGCGCTCAGCTATGCCCGATCTCCTCCAGGAGCTGCTCCGCAACAAACACCTTCCCTCGAAGAAACAGACGTCGTCATCTATAAATTGAAAAGAAAACATTTATATAAACATGCTCAATTATTAAAAGAAATAAGCCCTTCAAAACCCTTCTTTTCTGACATTTTAAATATACACGCAGAAAAATGGACATTCAAACATAATTATGTCATGCACTCTGAAGAAATGAAAAAAATTATAGGTTATGTTTTGAAATTTTTAAGTAAAAATCACGAAGTAATCTCTTTCTTCAAATAGCGTCACAAATAGAAAAGTTATTTTGAGGTTATGTTTGTCATCTGTCACCCAAGTAATTTACACTTTTGCGCAAGCGCAGTATCTACTTTTGAGTATCCATTTTTCTCAGTGTAGGACATATTTATGTTTAAAAAAACCATTTGTTTGTAAATAATTTCTAAAAAAAAGGTGATTTTGTATTCACACCATGAGTTCAGGAAGACGTAAAAGACATATACAATATAGGAAACGAAGGGTATTGATGGTTCCAAGGATATGTTTAATTAAATGTAACGAGGAGACATTACGCATACTTACCCCTTTATTATTATCGTTTGCCGTTGATCCTATCGATATATTTGATAGAAGTGCCGCGAGGAAATAATTACCATAGTCGCCATTTGAAACGACCTTCCCTTCCTCTCCAGGCGCATTTCTTATATTTCTCGATCACATTTTCCTTATGCGCGTGGTATCACGTAAAATTAATCATCAAGCTCTCCATACAACTATTCTCGGATAATTTATCCCGATTGAAGTGGAAGTCACGATATCCTATCAACATTCTCGTTCTTTTTGAACTATTTTATCCTCCTGAAATCAAAATGAAAAAAGAAATTTTAATTCACTTAGAGTTTCATTTTATTTAGAGGTTTTATATATATAATTAAAGAAATATTATTTATTTGCTAAAAACAAAAAAAAAATAAAGCTCAAAGTACCCTGTAAGTCTCATGGAAAATACGGAATGGAACACAAGTGCTCTTGTGGGAAATGTATAAGTGGAAAAAATCAGAAGTACATTGAACATAACCAAAAAATACATTGCTCCTTATTGGGCCAACGCAGAATGAAATCTTTAATCGTAAATCTTAAGCTTTTACATGAGAGAGAAAAGGACAAAAGATATTTCTATCCTTTTCTCTCTCATGTAAAAGCTTAAGATTTACGATTAGAGATTTTATTCTGCTTAGGCCTTATTTCAAAACTTTCACAATGGCTGACTGACCAGCTGAATTTGCGACAAAAGCAGTGGCGCTAGTGTTCCATTCCGTGTTTTTCTTGAGGCTTAGCGAGTACCGAAAACTGTGCTGCCACCTGAAAGTAAATGCAAAGTGAATTCTGGCAGTTTTTACTGTACTGCCTCTACAATTGCATTACAGATTGTAGAGGCAGTACAGTAAAAACTGCCAGAATTCACTTTGCACTTACTTTCAGGTGGCAGCACAGTAAATATTCCTAGAAATTTCTCTGCATGTTTGGCACTTATATCGATTCAAAAGATTCCTAACCTAAAAATTCGAACGGAAAATTATTTCAAGTTTTTTCTTCTTAGAAATAAATAATTATTCCACTTGCTAAGTCAAAAAGCCAATAAAGAAGAAAATAATTATTGTAAACAGTAGAGAAACAATATTTTTTTCTTTTATATGAAAAACCAAGGGATTTATTATATAAGACAAATGATATTGGCATATTATAACTGCTAATTAATTTCAAAATAATTGTACCTCACACTTCTCGCAAGAAAATAAAAATTTCAAATGACAAATTGTTCGGTGAACAATTTTACGATTTGAAGCGTTTTAATTATAGTTACTCTATCCGTTGGATGATATCGCAAATTAATCTCTGTAATAGTCGCTATACATCTCACGTACTTTACGCTCTAATGCGTAAAATCGTGTCTTACAACAGTACATCCACCTACTGTTGAGGAGTTATTATAGTTAATATTGCCTGCCTTAAAATAATATTGTGCTCTGCTACTATTATCGAATCACACTGTGATTTTACAGTTATCACTTTGATTGATATTCAACATCCTATAGAATATATACGTAATATACGTTATCCACGTTTACAGACTTTCCTAACATACACAAATTGATGCTTTTAACAATAATTTATATAATTACAAAGTTTCATAATAGCTTACGAATTATATATCCCCCCTCTAGTTATAATAGAAGTTAACTATTTTAAAGTTCTTTTTCTCCTTTGTTTTGTTCTGTAACAATTTTTCAAATATTTAAAAAAGAGTATATAAATAACGAGTTTCAGATACAAATCCTTAACCTTCAACAAATAATCTTAATTTCATATGCGAAAAATCTGAATAACATTTTCATTTGATCTATATATAGATCTCTGCAAAATGTTCAAGATAATATAACGTATATATAAATGTTACTGAAGTGCTATGCCAAACATTTACTTTCAATTATTTAAATTGAACAGAGATGCGAATTAACTGATATGCTTCTCTAGGTCCTGGTTGTCATGTCTTCTTAATGATAAATTTCTATTTAGAATATCAGATATACGTCAAGGTCATCTTTCTTATATACCTGCTTTAAAAAATTAGAGCAAAATTAATGTCCTATTAGATTTCTTGATATTCCGATAAAGAGAAAATTAATCGTTTCTATTCTTCTTGGTGGCCCATATTTCAAAGGTTCCAATTAAAATAAAGCTGGACTCCATATAGTGAAAATGAAAGAAAAATGAATCAAACGAAAAGATCCTATAGATCTTTTTAAAATAGTATAAAATATCATGTTTTGTATAATTTTATTGTTTTTTTTTTCTAAAACACAATCCATGTTAAATACTTTTTATTTTAATGCCACGATCTTCTGTGCACAAGACAAATGAAATATTCTCAGAAACGGTAGATCTTGATTTTTGTTTTAAATATATATATTAATTTACTTTTATTTGTAAAGCAGATTCTGTATAGAAAACTTCCGTGATTAGATTCCCTGAGAAATTCTCAACGAGTTTTTTTTTTCTTTTTTGCTTATAAGTATATAAATTGAAGTAAATTTGAATTTATTTGTATTTTTTATACATAAGCGCGTTTAGATTCTTGCTCTATTTACGTTTCTCTGGAATTCTCATTCCATACGCGAGGATTTATTCAACATTGTATGTAGATGAAGGACCAGGCGAAGATCCTTTAATAGATAAGTAAGACATTCTTCTTGTTCGATTGCTTCTTATTTGTTAAATGTAAATTCGTAAGACGAATTTTTACCCCCTAAAAATGTGCCTGGCTCTATATTCCAATAATTTTCTCGGAAACATATATATATATATATATAAATACTTAATAATTATTAGAATTTTAATAACCTCATTAAATAATTATTAGTATTCATTAAAATTGTAATTAGTATAATTAATATTCATTGGGGACTTAATAATTCGAATTATAATTAACTAATTAATAATCATTTGAATACGAATATTCTTTATATTCGCAAGGAAATTTCTTATGCAGCAATAAAGTAGCTACTTTGTAAATGAAACAAAAAAAAAAAAAAATAAATACGAAATTGGACGTCATCGATCAAAATAAAGATGTTTTTCCCACGGCTCATATCCTTTCATCTTTTATCATTTTTTTCTCCTTTTTAATCATGGACATAGCGCCCTCTACTTACATATATTACCTGAGGCGAAGTTAACTTATATATATGTCGATCAATCATTAATCGTCGCCAATAATCAGACGCTTTTTGTATAGTTTTGTTCTTCGGTAATCCATGAAAATTATAACACTATATATGACTTGTATTTTTATCTTGTTTTCTCATTCAAGTTAAAATACGATATCAACAGGGAACCTGTCCTGTCGTTTGTGCAAAAACGCGATGGATGATTAAACTTGATAATATATACGGCATTTATTAGTGATAACTAATAATGTCTCGGGATAACATATTACAAAGCACGAATTCACAAAGCATGCTTAAACATAAGAACATTATATATATATATATACTGCGCAAGAAGAAATAATAAATTTACTCGTAAATTATGCAATTATAAAGACCTATTTAAGGTCGATGTACGAGAACTCAGATCACTTTATAATTTTCTTTTTCTTTCAAACGTTTAAGCTTCTTTTAATACTACTATTATAATTAACGAATGATTAAACTCGAATAAATGAGATATATCCCACAAGTACAAGGTCTAAGAAAATTGTCGATTATTATCTGATTCAAGGTGTATACATGTGATCTTGAAATTAATCTCAATCTCATCAAAATTTAACTTTTGTTTGATAACACATGTCTGCAAATTTTATTTTGTTGAATCATTTATTTATCTTCAAAAATAGAGAATTCTAATTTTATTGTAAGAAAATTACGCACGTGCGTGAATATAACTCTCTCTCTATTTTTTTTCATCAGAAGCATTTTTGTTTTGCCCAATACTTTTTTGAATTATTAACTCAAATATTATAAAAACTGATAAAAATTCAACAAAATTTTAAATAAATTAAATTTTAAAAATTATGTATAGTAGCATCAAATAGTTTTTAATATGACGTTATATATGAATGATGATATTGACAAAAATAAGGTCACACTTTATCATCTGTTTTAAACTGTAATAGGTCGGATATAAATTTGAATGTTAATCATTTCGAGAAAGTTGCGCGACATTAAATCAATTTTTCTCCTCTTTCTCAATGTCATAAATACGATAAATATGCTCATTTGATAAGAAACAATTTGAGAAGCTCTGTTTTATCGAATCGACATTTTCAAATATGAAAAAAAATTCTTCCCGCAGCCTCACTACTACTTTATCCGCTTGAATTTCTCATATTTTCTGAATGAACAAGACATGGACTTTGATTTTTATTTGCATCATTTTTTTTCTATTCTTAAAGTATTGTGATTTATTCTTGGTCACAAAAAGTAATCTGAATACTTTTTGGTAAAACTATTTATAATCCAGAGAGAGAGAGAGCTTCTCTCGTCGATGAACGCTGGGCTTGCGCAGGTTTAGTCTCCAGGACGTCATCAAACAAATATGGCGAGTCTCACAAGTTTATCAAGAAAATTCTTACTATTTTCACGAAATTTTCGTAATGTCGCGCGTTCCTATTATAAATTATCGAGTGACAGTGCATTTGATAAAATTAAAACAAGTGTCAGATGGTTTGTAACCGGTTCAATAGCTTTTGTAATTGAGCACAAGTACAGTTTAGGCGCCACAGTATATGCCCTCAAATCACGAAAGGTAAGGACACAAACATGTACAGCGTAGTTCAAAAGTAATTTTCTCAAAAAAAAAGTTTCTAAACTTCTTTTTATGTTTAAAAAAAAATATATATATAAATATCTACCTTCTCAAAATGCAAACTTGAGACATAAACTATAATTCTTTACGATTATAAATTTAATTACACATCTCCTCCAAACCTCAATCATAAAATGTCAATTAATTATGCAAATGAGAATTTGCACACTATATTATCAACTTGTATGCATTACTTTGATGCTACAATAGTATTTGATGATAATTCATTTTTCTTGCATCATTGTTTTGAAAGCACAAACAATAAAATTTGAAATATTGTTAGGATAATTTATATTCTAAGTGTAACGCACACATTACATATTCACGAAGAAATCAACAATAATTGTAATTGATGATTCGTTAAATTACTATTCATGATGGATTGATATTTTGACGAGAGACTTCAATCATTTCAAGAAAATTTACACTCATGAGAAAATATTACTCATCGACAACAAAAATCTAATTTTGTAAATATGTACATTACATTATTATTATTATTATAATACGAAACTGTTTTTTTTTCTTTCAAAATCATGAAATATTTGATAAAAAAAATTTCACAATAATAAATTGCGAAAGTGTGAAACATAGAAAATAGAGGGAATATGTTGATTCTAAATTTTGATAAGATGAGTAGTGTGATCTAACCAAATGATCCCACGGGGTCGTTATCGCTGCGAAATACACATTTACGGCCTTCATATGATGATTTAATAAAACACGAGATTTTACATTTTACCTTCCCGGTTAAATTGTTGAATATCGTAAATCTTTTTCCTGCGCGCAAAAGTATATATCCAAAACTCGCGTGGACAGTGGCTGAGACCCCCTAGAGTGTCGGTTACTCTTTTGAAATCTTTCTCCCTGCATTTATGTGTGTCTCTCTCTCTCTCAATTTCTCTCAAATAAAGCATTCACCAAAAAACTGGAATTTCTTTTTATTAATATACACCTAACACCATCAGCGACTGCGATAAAGCAACGAGACATCTTCATCTTAGATTTTTATTTGTATTTTTCAAAAAGAAAAAAAATATATTCCTGAATTTCTTATTAACCTTATTAGCATCTTCCCACATATATGAGATTTTTTGTTCATAAAATTTTTTTTTTTTAATGTCTCTTATTAACAAATTTTACGCAAAATATAAAATCACTAAACCATAGAAATAATAAATATTTAGAGTAATAATTTATCTTCCGTAAAATTAAAATCACATAACGATCTCAGAGAGATATCTTCCCACGCAGCTTCATTCGCGTCGTTCACAATCATAGTTTTGACACCGCTTAAACATTTAGAGTAATTGAATCGCGCTTACTACAAATAATCCATTGTTCGAGGACCATGAAATAGTCATTTAAATTTAAGAACACATGATTTATTACACAAATTATCACTGTCGCATATTTCAATAAAATCCATTTGTCTCGATTCTTTTTAGAAAAAAAAAGAAGAATTAATCTCTTACAATGTATAATTTAAGATATGAAATACTTTCTCATTTGACGAGAATCTATAAAAAAAAGTAATTAAATAATAATAAAAACATTGTGATCCTTAAAAAGCTTCATATTCTTTATTTTAATGACCATTTTTATTAGCGCAATAATCATACCTTTGATTAAATTCTTTCATAATTGACGCACACAAAACAGGACAAAAATAAAATTTCCCAGGAGACAATTGGGTTTATTTGAATCATTAAAAACGGCAATAAGTATATTGTATATAGTTTTAACTCAATTGCCTATTTTCTTTATTAAGTTAGCTTGTTTTACTTTTAGCCGGAACGAAATGAATAAAAAAAAAAAAAAAAATTCTAACTAGAACACCCACAACTAACAAACAACTTAATAAGATCGAATTTTATTAGTGGACTACATTTTTTACAAAGAAACACTAAACAAGATTTCACAGTATGGTCATTCAAACCACCGCTGTGACTAATGACTTTGTAATTTGGTAAAGGTTGCTCTTAATTACCTATATCTTTCTACTATAAAATCACCAGAAGAGTAACTGAACTTTTTTTTAAAGAACTTTTAGCACAAAATAAATACACAATTTTTATAATTGTCCACGCACATCAAGTTAAAATATATTCTTGAATAACATATTAATTATTAATTTTTTTTTGTTGCATTTTTCCCTCAATCTTGTCAGTTAATTAAAACGTTGTATATTAGCGAATAAAATTCTCTCTAAAAGTCTAAGTCTAAGAAAATGTAAGGAATAAACTGCAAGATGAAAACATATAAACTATAGTAAAAGTCAAAATGAAAGATGATCCTGATGTGTGCAAAAAGCAATAGCACCTGTTGCTTTCATGATTTACAATTTAGATGATTTCTTATTTTATTGGTATAGAAGAAGATATTAATCGATATATAGAAATATATTTCTATATTATTGCCATTACAATTAATCGATAAGAAATATCTTCTTTTTTACATTTTGAAATACTGGATTTAAAAAAAAAAAGAGTCTAGTAAAGCAAATGCAAAAGAATGCGAGAGGCATTATTCAGTTGTGAAGATCTTATTATTCGATAACGAGCCTTGCATTTCTTCAAAGAGACAAGAAACTATCACAAAGTTCATTCCTTTGACGGCTGTCCATTCAATTTTTAGCGAATGTTTACTTATACCGAAGAAGCCGACAATAATGGCATTGCTAAGGATAATTTTACTTAATTTACGAAGTAATCTAATTTCCTTCTTCATCATCTTTTCTACTAATCTCGACGGGTAACGTGTTCATACGTGTAGAATGACGCCTTTAGGTAAGATATTTCCTGAAAAAGATGGGAATTGTTTCGCTTCTAGTAATGTGCTACGTACCGTTTTAATTAGATTTAATAGAGGTTCGTTGGTAATTTCTTGCATGTCGGCGAAAGACTTAAAACATTGTAAAGATTTTAAATTAAACGCGTAAACATGGAATTTTTCTTACAATGTGCCCTTTATAGAATGCACAAAAATATTCTAGATATTTATACCACAACATTTCTATAAAGAAAATATTTCTTAACAAGAAATAAAAATTTATTTCAATCATATATATCATTTTTGTTATTCGATTCGTTACTTTTTTAATTTAATGTACTTTTTAAAAATAAAATTTCTCAATAAACGAAAATTATTAAAAAATAACTGTTTGTGTTTTAGAAAAAAATTTGGATAAGAAATTTTCTCATTATTTTCATTCACTATAAGAACTCTGTAGACAGTCAACCACAACAGATCGTTTTAGTGTTTAACACGACCATTGACTAAACGAAGAACAAGCAATGCCGCTAATAAAGTAAAAAAAAATTCAGGAAAAAAATCAAAGATAGCATCGGTACAACCTCACACCAAACAAATGAGGAAATTTTATTAGTGAAGTCTGCCCTAAGAGGAAGATTTCAATCTTATATTACTCTTGAGAATTGAGATCTGATGAGATTCGTCAATAACCAAGTGTTGTGTTTGTCTCACAGGTTTTATTGCTTTTTTTTGTCGTAGACAATTTTCTTTACTTAAATATAGACGAAGAAGATATTTTCTCAACTAAACACACTAAAACATTCAGACGTCTGTTCTTTTTTTTTTTTTTTGCAGAAAATACTTTCCTAGGAAAGAATCTGATATGGCGTTGACCTGTAACTTCGCGGTCACGAGACTCCAAAGAACTTCTGAATGACGAAAAATTAAAAAAAAAAACACATCAATGAATAGAAATTGTTACCTATATTTCATTAATAATTTAAAAAAAATTACGAAAAAATAAGAATATTGTGAAATAATGAGACAATATCTAAGACGTCATTTGGATAAAATTAAACGACATTATTTTTCATGAGGACGTGCAGGAGTCCAGGAAAAGTCATAAACTAGAGAATGCTCATTTAGACAAGTGGAGGTAATTAGAGCAAATATTAAGAACGTCAATTAAGCAATAAAATCGACGATTTCAAGCTTGTGTCAACGATCCTAATATATATAAGAACATTTACAGCACACGATAAAAAGTTGTATATATTAAAAGGTGAAATAAAAAAAAGAATATTTAAGTGAAAAATCTGATGACAAAGATTGCAAGAGTTTAAAATGCCTAAAGACATAAATTTTAAGATTACGTCCCTCTTTATCCACAGGATTTCTTTTATCCACAAACGAGTCACGGTCCATTAGAGTTTCAAGCTGGGGTCACGTATACCCTCATCCAAAAGCAATCTATTATAAACTCTAAACTTTTTCCCAAATTTGTCTCTCTCCATTCAAGATTTCGTCTTCAAAGACTTCGTTTAAATCAACTTTTAACTGAATTATTTTTTTAATCAATCTTTTAATTTAATTTGCTAATCTCAACTATGTCTTTAGTACTACAATGTTAAATAAAATAGAGTCATCGAAGGATTCTTCTTATTAAGTTAAAGAAAGATATGATCTTGGAAAGTGTGAGGGCATATATAGCTTGAGATTATTTGACACAGAGCCCAAGCACATCACTCGCGGCCATGTTATTAAGTATAACATGAGCAACACACTGACCAGAAATGTCCAATCAAGATGAGATCGACAGTGGGATTTTTTTTTACGAAAAAAAAGTACATGACTTTCTTACTTAGCACATAATTTTTCTTCGGGCTATTATTGGCTTTCAAACTCTTAGCTATATCTCTCTTGTGCAAAAAAAAAAAGAGTATAATATGTGACATGCTTATGATATAAACATAACATTTATAAGCAACGTCATAAATATCAACGATAGTTACTCTTCCTTTTGGCATAATCGAATAATTTATCATATAAATATCATAAATTTATCATACTGCCAATAAGTATTAAAAGAAGTTTCTAATTCAAAAACTACTCAAATTCCTATTACAATAAAAGTGATATTAAGAAAAAAAATTTTTTGCTTTCTATTAAATTTTGTTTGAGAATTT